GCGCTTCTGTGCCGGACTCGTTCTTGAGACGAGGAGCAGCTCAGTGGCTAGAATAGCTGCCGATACAGACACAACTCGGCAAAGAAATTTACCCACTACGTAATGGGCTCTGCGGCTGGCCTCACTTCGTGAGGTGCGGATACCGGAATTGCCGCCTAGAGCGGTTCACCCCGGCGGACCGCCGGGCAGGTCTTGAGCCTGGAGCAGCGTATCCCTTCAACAAGTGAGGCCGGGTCTGCTCAAGAACAATCCGAGTGTGTTCGCACGCTAAATGCTCTGCCACGGTACCAGGCAACACAGGTGCATCAACAAACAGTGCTTTAAAAAAAAAGCTTGTTGTACTAGGCCCTGGCTCAATTTCTCTGTTTTACGTGAAAGCCTCCAACTTCCTCCGAATGTCGCCGAAACGCCATTGTCGCACAGAGCCTGACGCCATGCCAGCGATGACAGGGGGAAGTGAAGAGTCGGAGACGGATTCACTATTTGAAGGGGAGCAGGACGGCTCGGAAGCGGAGGCCGTTGACTTAGGTGAAGAGTCGGAGACGGATTCACTATTTCGATCCTCCCCAGACGAGATGCCCACAGCGCCAGCACGAGACACTCTGCTGCGCCCAGCAGCAAAGGCTCGCACTGGACGACCAGAGGAAGGTGGCCTTCCTACCACGCCTGCCCCGAACTCGTCCATCGCTTGGAATGGGGTGCCTCCCTACATTAGCCCGGCCGGGCCACCACCACCATCACGCAGTGGAACGGACTTCCCACTCCCAGGAACAAGGCCAATGCACGAGGCTGCGCCCCCAGTGTATACACCGGGGGAAAGGCTGCAACTCTGGAGCTTGACGCTCAGCCCAGGGCCGGTAGTGGTCATTCAAGGTGTTCCACGCCGCACCTGGTTCTTCCAGCTGCAACAAGGGCACGTCCACAACTACGAGGGGCCGGCTGGACCCCATCAACACGTCCTCGTCTCCCCGATCCACACGCTTACTGGCCCACCAGTTCCAGTGGTGGGATACAGCACGCTTGAACAACAGGCAGAGTCTGGCAGTTCAGCTCCTGGAAGCTAAACACTGGCCTGTGTTTTTTACTTTAATCTCACGGCCGAACCAGACTCAATCTGAGCACTGCTCAGCTGGTGAGGAGCACTGCTCCCATGTACAACAGTAACAAACATTGACGATTGAGAGGTCGCACAGCACTGGGGAAAAAGCAGGTCTTAACATTATTGCATTTTGAGATCGTTTCTTCACCAGCCTTGTAACTAGCGAGGATTGCCTTACTCTGAATCCGGGAGGCCCAGCCCAACACTCACTGCTGCAAATCTGCCAAAGTGACTGCTCTACGGTCCTCTGCCTCCATGCATCAATGATCCATGTGGGACGCCACAAGATGGACATTGAGGGAGACGGCCAATCAGGTACGACCCACTTGCAGGAAGGTGCGTGTCTACTGGACGCAGTGAGACACAGTAGGATGACGGGGGCTACAACTTTTTCACCCATAAGACAGCTAGCTAACAAGCTACAGCTCTTGCTCAACACTCTAACCAAGTCAAGAAGCTCGCCTCGTCTCACACTGATCTACACCTAGTGAATTCGGTTTCACCTCTCCAACCGCCGCTCCAAACTACTTTTCGGTGCTCAGAACGGTGCGAATCGCCCGCAATGAGCAGAGCCCGCTCGCTCAGCGTTCAATAAAATAGTAGTAGTAGTAGTAGTAGTAGTAGTAGTAGTAGTAGTAGTAGTAGTAGTAGTAGAGTAGTAGTAGTAGTAGTAGTAGTAGTAGTAGTAGTAGTAGTAGTAGTAGTAGTAGTAGTAGTAGTAGTAGTAGTAGTAGTAGTAGTAGTAGTAGTAGTAGTAGTAGTAGTAGTAGTAGTAGTAGTGGTAGTGGTAGTGGTAGTGGTAGTGGTAGTGGCAGTAGTATTAGTAGTAGTAGTAGTAGTAGTAGTAGTAGTAGTAGTAGTAGTAGTAGTAGTAGTAGTAGTAGTAGTAGTAGTAGTAGTAGTAGTAATAGTCGTAGTAGTTAAAATTGTTCTTGTTGGACGAGTATTATTACTAGTACTAGTACTAGTACTAGTACTAGTACTAGTACTAGTACTACTACTACTACTACTACTACTACTGCTACTGCTACTACTACGACAACTACTACTACTACTACTACTACTACTACTACTGCTACTACTACTGCTTCTTACTACTACTTACTACTACTTACTACTACTTACTACTACTTACTACTACTTACTACTACTTACTACTACTTACTACTACTTACTACTACTTACTACTACTTACTACTACTCACTACTACTTCACTACTACTTCACTACTACTTCACTACTACTTCACTACTACTTCACTACTACTTCACTACTACTTCACTACTACTTCACTACTACTTCACTACTACTTCACTACTACTTCACTACTACTTCACTACTACTTCACTACTACTTCACTACTACTTCTACTACTACTACTACTACTACTACTACTACTACTACTACTATTACTACTACGACTACCACTACCACTACCACTACTACTACTACTACAACAACAACAACTCCTACTACTAATGTTGACTTGACATTAATAAAGCCCGCTACAATTGTAAAATCCCGCTGCCCGGAACACAATATTGTAACCCGCCACAATTATAAAATCCGACCCGGGAAATCCGGTTTTTACGGGCGTGGTGCTACTACCTAATACTAAAACTAATAGTACGTCCTACCAGGATTTAGGCGAACATTATTGAGGAGGCCCTGGCCGGAGAGATTGATCAATGAAGGGGGGGGGGTTTATTAATGCGAAGTCAACATTACTACACCTGCGAGTACTACCCCCCCCCCTCATACTACCTGAAGGACTGACCCCCCCCCCCCCCCCCCCCAATTCTCCCGAAAGACAAACCCCCCCCCCCTCATAACCCCCCCGCTCTTTGACTACGTCAGAAAGGATTTTGTTCTCATTTGGATTGTACTCTAATTCGCTCTCAATTCTCTACTTCTCTAATTTTCGAGGAATGAATACAAGAAATAGAAACAAGAAACGGGGGGGGGGGGGTGGAATTTAGACAAATTCTCTACTTCTCTACTCATTCTATTTCAGCAACCGACAGTGTAGGACTATAGGGCAATCTGAGCAAATAGGGGGGGGCGGGTTGATACGTCCGAAAGACTTTGTTGTCATCTGGATTGTACTCTAATTCTCTATCAATTCTCTACTTCTCTACTGTTCGAAGAATGAATACAAGAAACAAAAACAAGAAACGAGGGGGGTGGAATTTAGACAAATTCTCTACTTCTCTACTCATTCCATCCCAGCAGACCGACAGTGTAGGACCATAGGGCAATCTGAGCAAATGGGGGGGGCTGCGCCCCCCCCACCCCCCCCGCTTTTTGATTACGTCAGAAAGGACTTTGTTGTCATTTGGATTATACTCTAATTCTCCATGAATTCTTTGCTTCTCTAATTTTCGACGAATGAAGACAAGAAAAAAAAGAAACGGGGAGGGGGGGGGGTGGAATTTACACTAATGCTCTACTTCTCTACTCATTCTATTTCAGCAGACCGACAGTGTAGGACTATAGGGCAATCTGAGCAAATGGGGGGGGGCTGCGCCCCCCCCCTCAACCCCCCCGCTTTTTGATCGACGACGACGACGACTACTACTACTACTACTACTACTACTACTACTACCACTACTACTTGTACTTCTACTTCTACTTCTACTACTACTGCTACTACTGCTCCGACAACGACTACTACTACTACTCCTACTCCTACTACTACTACTACTACTACTACTACTACTTCTACTACTACTACTACTACTACTACTACTACTACTACTACTACTACTACTAGTACTAGTACTAGTACTAGTACTAGTACTACTACTACGACTACTACTACTACTACACCTACTCCTACTCCTACTACTACTACTACTACTACTACTACTACTACTAGTAGTAGTAGGAGTAGTAGTAGTAGTAGTAGTCGCAGCCGCAGTAGTCGTAGCAGTAGCAGTAGCAGTAGCAGTAGCAGTAGCAGTAGTAGTAGTAGTAGTAGTAGTAGTAGTAGTAGTAGTAGTAGTAGTAGTAGTAGTAGTAGTAGTAGTAGTAGTAGTAGTAGTAGTAGTAGTAGTAGTAGTAGTACTAGTAGAAATAGTAGTGGTAGAAGTAGTAGTAGTAGTAGTAGTAGTAGTAGTAGTAGTAGTAGTAGTAGTAGTAGTAGTAGTAGTAGTAGTAGTAGTAGTAGTAGTAGTAGTAGTATTAGTAGTTGTAGTAGTAGTAGTAGTAGTAGTAGTAGTAGTAGTAGTAGTAGTAGTAGTGTAGTAGTAGTAGTAGTAGTAGTAGTAGTAGTAGTAGTAGTAGTAGTAGTAGTAGTAGTAGTAGTAGTAGTAGTAGTAGTAGTAGTAGTAGTAGTAGTAGTAGTAGTAGTAGTAGTAGTAGTAGTAGTAGTAGTAGTAGTGGTATGGTAGTAGTAGTAGTACCCCCCCTACCCTGGGGGTAGGCCTATCTAGAGGTGGGGGTAGGCTCAGGGGTAGGCCTACCCCATGGGTAGGCCTCCCTACTAGGCTCCGTAGGGTAGGGGTAGGCCTACCCCAGCCCTACCCCTTAGGTCGCGTAGAGCCCAGAGGCGGGACTTCTTTATGCGTATTATGGGCATTTCTACACGATCATGATAAAATGTCTACATCACCACGCTGGATATGCAGAAACCTGAGACTATACTAGATCGGGACATCAAATCAGAAGCGAATATGTGGCTGCGACAATGTCGCCCTGCTTGAAATCATAGTTCCGAACCTTCACCGAAGGCCCCACCCATCTTGTGTTGTCTCTACAGAGCCAAAGCTGCTTGTGGTTGTCAAGTTCTCGCGCGCGTGGTTTGCGCAGGCTTCTGGCAACCGCTGACGGATCTCTCAACAAGCGCTGAAACCTAAACCTTAAACCACAGACCCTAAAGGTTTTAGTGCGGCCAGGACACAGGAGGCGGCTGCGGCCGCATTTGCGGAGAGGCGTGGTCATCCTTTGGAGCGCATGTTACAACTCAGATCGATTTCGGACTAAGTGCCCAAAGCTGGGTCCGTATGCCAGACACAGGCAAGCACTCAGAAGGTGAAGCGCCAAGCCTTGAGAACTGAGGCTTCAAGTTTGTCCAAGGACACCTGCTTTCTCTCTCTCTCTCTCTTTCTCTCTCTCTCTCTCTCTCTCTCTCTCTTCCTTCCTTCCATCCCTTCCACAGCACATAACCCCCAAGGGGGTCGTCCCAAGGGACGTGCTCCAGCGATCCAGTCGGTAAAGAAATTACTAGAATACAGGCTGGGGTTACATCACTTTCGACTGCCCCCCACTCTCCCTGTATTGTCACCGCCAGCGAGCGCGGAGGAACCCAAACCCGACCTTGCTTTCTCTCTCTCTCTCTCTCTCTCTGGCGCGACTCGGATGATACAGGGTATATATGACGGCCTTAATCATCAGAACGGGGTTTTGGGCAGTATAATAGTATAGTATACTAACAATCAGGAACGCTGGGGAGTAGTATTGGTAGTTATCCAGGCGTTTGTACTATCTGTTTGAAGCAACTGCTATCCCATTCTTCGGCTACAAAGCCAGCCCTGGGATTCCCAATTACCGGACCTTGGTAGGAGAAGTCTTGGGGGGTGAATCAGATGAATCAGAAGACCTTGATGATTGAATTCAGGGGTATGCCTTAGGCCTTAAGCTATACATACAGAGATCATTACGGCGGCGTGAAGTATTTTTCTTTGATTAAGTGCTTCATGCCATGTGTCGAAGCCAAACCGCCTGTTTCTCATTCTCACGGAGCCCGCCTTGGACGGGATGGTGCCGCTGCTGACACTGCCGGCAGCCGTGCTGGTTTCGCTGCTGCCGCTCAGTTTTCGCCTGGGCTCGCCGACGCCGTGCGAAAACAAATGGGACGCTCACGCGCTGAAGCTTATGTGTGAGCGCCCGGCAGTGGCACGCCCTCCGGTGCCGCGGGCTCCTGCGCTCAACGGAGTACAGAAGCGGTGCTTTGGGTGATCCAAAACTTGGATCCTGTGCGCAGCAGGCTTAGGCATTCGAAGCGGGGAAGGCAACACTTGATGCTCCTCAAACTCGAAGGAGGCTTTCCACAACGACCCTGATCTTAAACCCACCCTGCCGTCCTTGGCCATCTTCCGGCACCTAGGGCTCATGCACAATGGACCAAGCAAACTGAGCAGTGTGAGGCCCAGCTTGTACCAACAGTGTTTCGTGAACCCGTCGGCGGTGCGTTGCGAATTGCCTCCTGGTTTCTCAATCTGTCCTGTTCCTCAAGAGTTGCTCGCGCTATCTCTGTCACCCTCTCCCTCTCCCTCTCCCTCTCCCTCTCCCTCTCCCTCGCTCTCTCTCTCTCTCTCTCTCTCTCTCTCTCTCTCTCTCTCTCTCTCTCCCTCCCTGAAGAAAATGTTTCTGAGCGCAATCGCGAGTGCGCTGCTTGCATATGCGGACGCACCGCGAAGCTTGCCAACTGCTGACAGTTTCCGTGGCTGTCTGTCGACTTTATGTGGTCACGTCCGTATGTGACGAGGGGGATGGGGGCCCAGTCCTCCTGTGCGCACTAACGCTTGTGGCCGCTTGTACATGTGCATTCGGCTCATCACCACCACGAGAGCTCTGTCGAGGTAAACCCGCCCTCTCTCTCTGGCCCTTTTCTGCTTGCGCTCGTTCATCTGCTCGTGGGCTGCTTGTGGCGTCTCATTAAGTACACATCCAAGCGGGCACAGTGTCCTTCAACCGGGACACACATCCTGCCAGTGGGCGAGCCGACGCTTGAGCCGTTCCAGCTGCTGGCTGGCGCCGTAAAGCCTCAGATTTTCTCAGCCAGCTCTCGAAAACAAACGTCAAGCCTGCAAAATCGCAGTAGTGCTTCGCACCCAAGGGGCCGCTGCTCCAGCAGTCCTTTCTCCGTCTTCAATTCGTTGTTTTCGGTCAAAACTGCTTGCAGCTTCTCCACCAGCTCCTGGCAGCCGTCTCCGTACCTGAGTCCGACATCGACCCGCTATCAATCTGCACAGCATGTTGCACTTGCTTGAACGTCCTGTCCACTCGAGAAAGTCTTGTCATTACGGAGCAACTGGGAGACTGGGAGCTAGACAATTAGAAAACCCAGGTATACTTGTCCGAACGAACGCTCCAGCGACACCGACGCCAAAGCATGTGTGCAACCAGGCTGCGGAGCATACTGCTCTGCCCAGAGCGCTCCGGGCATTTCCATTCCGCAGACACGATCATACCTTAAGTCTACATCTCACATCCAAAACGAGGTTGCATCGAACGCTGACAACATGCAGACTCGAGAAAGGAAGGACAACCGAGGCTCTCAGCGTACATGTACTGCGCACCGTTTTCATATCCCCAATCGCCAGCGTGGCGGCATTCAAAAGGCGCCATTGCGCAAGAGGGCAAGAGGGGGCTACTTTGGAGCTCAGAGTTGAGCTGACGGCTGCCGTCCGGGCAAAATCAAATGCCCTCAATGGTGATGCCTGCCTAGCTGAGTTGAGGGGGAGCAAAGATTGTATATGCTGTCAGTTTCCTGGTCGTGCTAGGTTGATTTAGCCAAACATGCAGGACCCGCCAGGTTGGTGACGTGCTATTATATCACTTGTGAAGGCATTGGATTTAGATATGGGCAACTGTAGGATGTGCTGTATCCTGAAGGATTCTTGCCACAGAGCACGGTTTACGGGGCTACTGCTGCAGGGTTGCTCATGCCGACCATGGTTGAGTTGTCTCTCCGACCCTTCTACCGTCGATGTGCTTGCAAGGTCTCTGCAACATCCAAGCAGGGAGCCTGCGTAATGCAGACTGCAATTTGAATGTACATGATGAGCCTGGAAGGATCCCAAGAAGGTTGTCAGCCTTAAAAAACCCTTCTTGCATAGACACAACCCTGCACTCCTTCAATCGTGATGTCCTAATGTCTAATCTCTAAACACCCTTTCAGCCCAATATCCCAAACCCTAAACTGTTAAATAAATCCTAAACCCAAACCCCTAAACATCAAAATTCCAGATACTCAGCTCCAACGTGGTAAAGCGGACCAAGCCGGGGCCAAAGCTCTCAGAGGTATCGCGGTGCTGCTGCCACAACAGTCCGCCCCTGCCGAAAGAAATGTGCTTTCAGGTGCTGCTCATTCAGAGGATCTAGGGTATGGGTGTTTAAAGCTTCACGGCGAATTCTGTCATATCTCAGTAGGTCGCTGGATGACAGGACAGGATGGCGAAAATATGCAAAACATGCAATTGTGAAAGTTCGGGCTGTGTTTTTCTTTTGTGTATGTGTGACTACATGTGTATGTGTGTGTGTGTGTTTCTTCGGCTCAAAAAAGGTTGCATGTATAGCAGGTTAGGGAGAGAGGCATATAACCACAACAGCAACCCCGCAAAGGAAGCCGATGAGGAAAGCCACAGCCAAGGCAGGCGAGCCCTTTCAAGTTGGAATGCGCGGCGGAATGAAGGAACGAGAGGACCAGCCAACCTTTCCATACATGCACTCACACACACACACACACTGACCCACCTTGCAAGTCTTCAGCCAGCAACAACCGATCACTCCATTCCTCTCATCTGCTTATTAGCAGATGATCACAAGCAGAGGTGTCGTCCCTCATGCGCAGGTCTATCTGAAATGCTCCAAACGGGGTTAAGCTTGGGAACTACCCAGTTGCGCTTGTGAGTGCCGAGTCTTGGCTTTTTCAACCCGCAGGGTGTGGCTTCTGCTGGCTTCCAGCAGATTCTGGGGTCCTCCACAGGCTGGCTGCACTTGGACAAAACGCTCTCAACTCACCAAAGTTTCAAGCCTAAGCCTCCACTGGCAATACGGGGGTTTTCGAACGAGTTTGGGAAATACCCATACTGTTCCAAGAAATGGTGAACAAGATGGCACAAAGAAACAGCTTGCAACCTCGACTATGCGCGACCGCCGTCCACTAGGGCCCGCAAGCGCTTTCGGTTCTGCATTTTGTTTTGAGAACTTTGCGGGCGGAACTTTTTTGTGAGTGTGGGTTTCAGGGTCTGAGGGTTGATGGTTTGAGGGTTTGGGGTTTGAGGGCTGTAGGGTTTGAGGGCTTCAAGGTTTTCTGGTGGGTTGGGGGCTTCAGGGTTTGTAAATGTTCGGTTGGGGATTTCGGGAGCTGTGGCCATCAACCACTAGGACAGCCATGAAATTAGGGACAACCAGATAACTAAATACACCTACACCGGAATGTTGATGGCATGGCAGTGAGGTGATGTCGAAGGGAGCTCACGCTTCCTAGAATCAGCCAAAGCATCGTCAATAATTACATGTCTGGACATTCCCACAATTAAATCATGATTTAATTGCTCCCCCTACCTTTCAACAATTAAATGACGATTCAATTTTTCCCCGTAGAGTAATAGTAATAACAATAAGAATAACAAAATAATAATGGTAATAGTAGTAGTAACAGTAATAGAAAAATAATAGTAATAGTAATAATAATAGTAATAGTAATAGTAATAGTAATAGTAATAGTAATAGAAATAGTAATAGTAATAGTAATAGTAATAGTAATAGTAATAGCAATAGTAATAGTAATGGTAATAGTAACAGTAACAGTCATAGTAATAGAAATAGTAATAGTAATAGTAATAGTAATAGTAATAATCATAATACTAGTAATAACAATCGTAATAATAAGAATCATCATAATAATAATAGTAATAGTATTAAAAGTAGTAGTAATAGTAATAATTGTATTAAGAAGAATCACAAAATCATAGTAATAGTAATAACAATACAATAGTAATAATAATAGCAATAGTCATAGTAATAATAATGCTAATAGTAATAGTAATAATAAGATTAATGGCAATAGTAGTAATAAACTCAGGATTTAATTGTCGTTCCAGAGAAACGCAAAGAAACGGGACAAGGTATGTCGAGGTAGGTCAAAACCCAACCCAAATGCAACAGTTAAATCAGGATTTAGTTTTTTTAACTTCTGGATTCATTGGTTTTCCCCCATATAATCCCTTTACGGGTAAATATAAGGGCCCTAGAAAGCCCCCTCAAGGGTGGGGCCCGAATTCCTTCATTCCCTGCGAACCAACAAGAAGAGCGGATCTCAGTAGGTCTTGCCTTAAGGTCTCCAGCTGGTCGCCGAAGCAAGAACCTGTCCGAGCACATGCAACTTCCGCATGAGTTCCTTCAGGGGCCATGGCCTTCCAGGACGGGCTATTAGACCCTGTAACCCCTCAAAAAGGCCCTTTACAGGGTTGATTCTGGGGATGATAGGGCCTAATAACCCTGGTTGTGCACAAGGGACAACTGCTCCCACAAATACGTCGCAGCACCCTGCAACGCATCAACGACAGCCGCTGAAGGAGATGGGACAACCCTAAACCCTAAACCCTAAACCCTAAACCGGAGCGGACTTGGAGTTTTCGGCTCCCGCTATGTGTACCAAAACCGAAGCCAAGGAGCCCTTCACTGAATGAAGTACACTGTACAATGTGAGAGATGTTCCCCTTTAGGGTTTAGGGATGTTTAGGGTTTAGGGTTTAGGGAGGCTACCCCTTATGCTAACAGTCCTTGAAGGGATTAGAGTAGGTTGCTATGCTATAACCCCTATTAAGGAGCTGTTGGTCTAAGGGGGAACGTCCCAATGTACAAAGGCTCTGATCCTACCGGGGCTCCAGGCGTGCAGGCCGCAAGGAACGAAGCACAAAGGCGGGGCACGGGGCTCGGAACACCATCCTCGCATGTGGTGGCGTCTTGTTCTGAGATGTTTTGAATACCTGGCGTAAGATGCAAATTTATTAAAATACTTCGATAGCTTCCTGACCTGGTTGTCCGTGGAACTTCCAATCCAACCAGTGCAAAAAATGACGTTCGCGAAGCTGCAGAGTTCGCACTGTTCGCACGTGTTGCAGTCCACGGCTTGCAACTGGAATCAAATCAACTGGACATGTTGCAGCACGCTTTGTCACTTTGCATCCCGAGTGATACGCAAAACTACCTGAACGTCAAGCCTCAAGAAACTTACAGGCAATCACTGCAGTACTCTGCCGAGCACGCGGGCCGTAGGAGTTTGGGGAGCATTCGCAAGCACCCACCACCTGATCCTCCTCCCGGGAATGGGTGCCAGCTATGGACCCCCGAGGGACCCGGTAAGGGGCACACGGGCACCAACACCTCTCGAAAAGGTTGGACGCTGCGGTATCCAGGTTCTCCTCGCAAAGCGCATGCGAAGCCACGCAATCCTGCAAGCACCATTTGCTTGGATGGCTTCTTCAACACGTGAAGCTTGCGATTTTCCTCTGAGGGCCTGCATGATCATTGCATGCACGGTTCCAAACCCCTCACATCCCTCGCCCCCCACTCCTCACTTGCCCCCGGCCCTGCTGGAGTAGGGGGGTGGTGAGGGGGTGGTGGGGGGGGGTGGGGGTGGTGAGGGGTGGTGGCAGAAGAGTGCAGAGGGCGGACAAAAGTGCGCGAACTATCGCAGCCTCCTGCTATGGCTCAGGATAAACACGACTGCGGCAAGGAGTGGCCTTCTCGGGAGGGCCTATAGCATCGCGCACATAGCAGAGGAGGCGAGCCTGGGTCAGTGCCGAATTGTTCGGGCAGGGACGGCTGGAGAAAGGTTCGGGATAGGAACTTCCCAAAAGCCACATTCACTGGGAGTGCCAGAATGTGACACTTCGTGTCGGTGTCTATGTGTGTGTGTGTGTGCGCTGCAGGACCTCCACTGAATCTGCCGAAGGGAGAGAATCTATGGATCTAGGTCGGTACTTTTCATGTACTGCCACCCTTGCACCATTGTAGTGACAACAGCGACGACGATGATGTGTGAGGGTGGCAATGAGTGGCACAAAAGCCCTACACCTAAACCCTAAACCCCAAACCCTAAACCCTAATCCCTAAGCTGCCGACCAGCTCCGGCAGCTCCCGGAAGGGCAAGCGCTCGCGCGATGCCTCCGGGGTGCAAGGGCTTCTGTGTGGGGGGTTTATGTCTCAACAATCACATGAACATGCAGCTACAATGTAGAATGATGGTTTAGGGTTTAGGGTTTAGGGTTTAGGGTTTAGGGTTTAGGGTATACACATCATACAAAGACACACCGAGTTGGTGGACCGCCTGTATGCGGGACTACGCCTACGCACTACCTATATAGGGGGACACCATAAACGGGAATACTGTTAGCAGATAGCACGTGTCTTGTTTTCAGGAATGCCCGGGACTAGACATTTGGGGCATCTCAAAAGACACTTTTCCGTTCTCTTCTCGCGAGAAACGTCTTGTAGCCAGTACTTCCCAGCCCGAAACTGCTCCTGGGAGAAAAGGGGGGAAGGGGCATCAGAGCCTCGATGCCAAAGGCTGTATGCTCACATTGGATAGGCCCTGCGAAACGAAGCCCTTTTCCGAC